TGCAGCAAGCGATCTTTTTGCCTCACTCCGCCTCTCTTGTGCTAGGATTACAGGGTATGCCACACCCGGCGCCGGCCGAGGTGGACAGCTTAAGAGACGAAACGGGAGAGCCAGGCGTGGTGACGCGTGCATAAGCCACTCGGGAGGCAGACAGAGGTGCATCGCTGTAAGTGCGGGGAAGAGTTGTTTTCCGTTTGAGAGAGACCAGAATCCTCCGACGCTGAAGGGAAGGACGGTTTAGGAGTGAGCCAGCTGGCCGTCAGCAGGGAGGGGGCCTGCGGGGAACCGGTCGGCGGTGGTTTCACAGGAGCCCACGCTGTCAGCGGGCAGGGAAGAAGCTACTTCTGCTTCTCTCACACTGCGGGCTGCCATGCTCACAGCAGTTCCCCCGTGAGACTCAGAGGGCAGCGCCGAAGGTTCCACGAATTCCCAGAAACGAGGCACGCTGCCGGTGCACATCGGACCGCGGGGAAGACAGCGTTCGGGAGTCTCCCTCCCGCACCCCCGAAGAAGCCCTACATTGACTGGAGGAAAGAGGGATAGAGTGGGGGAACATCTGCAAATCAGGAAGTTAGTTCTCTCCGTGACCTGCCGAACCTACGTCTGTTTTGACACCAGATCTCTTGTGTTTTGAAAAAAACAGACAAAATCAGGGCTCACAGTTTTACTAGGGAAAAAGAAATTGCCCGCTACCCGCAGCTGTGAAAGCTGACACTGAAAAAGCAGTCTATTTTTTATTATTTATTTTATATAACAAAGTCCAATTAAATGAAAACAGAAAAGCAGTCTTAAACATGTCTTTAGTTTGTGCTCGGGTTTAAACCCGAGCCATGGGCGTGGACCTTGGCTTTGGAGTGCGCAAGCGCAGTTTGAGAAAGTTGTTGCGGCAGAGACGATTAATATTGAAAACATTCTAATTACGGTAGTTTAGGGACCCACCCTGGTTAACAGTGTTCTGTAAGGACCATCTGAGAATAAAAAATTGCTCACTCAGACAAAAAGAAAAGAAACAGACCGCCCAACGTGGGGCTCGAACCCACGACCCTGGGATTAAGAGTCCCATGCTCTACCGACTGAGCTAGCCGGGCAGATGAAAGTTGACCTTGTTTTTCTGCCTTTTGAGAAGTGTTCTGCTGCTTTTGCTTTCTATTTCATTACTGTTGATGAAAATACAACCAATAAATTGCAATAAACCAAAAGGAAAGGATTCTGTTTTCGCAACCTAAAGGTAAAAGAGAAAATTATCACAGAGGAAAAAATGATAAAGGGAAAACAGCCACAATCAAAAAACAAAGGAATAGAAAAGGGAAGTTGTTAAATTCTAAAAGTAAATGAGAAGATGTTCCTCATCTCATTATGACAAGCCAAGACGATGGAGAGTCGCCTATGAACGCATACATATTCTGAGCTACTGGCGAATTTCTCTGGGTAAGGAATTTTGCACATTTCTGTAACGAATGTGTCGTGTGTGGGACTGGTCAATCCTGTTGTTCGGAATTGCAAGTTAAAGCCTGGTTGAAAAACAAAACAAAACAAAAGCAAAAGTAGGTAAACTTAAATTAAGGAATACACAAATAGTCTTTATTTTATTTTGTTTTTCAACATATCATAAACCAATAAAAATTTAAAACAACAAAGGAAGAAAACAAAACAATTTTTAGAAAAGAAATATCATAAACCTGGAACTAACAAAGAATCCCTATTACTCTATCCACAAAACACATAAACAACATATAGGACAACTTTCCTGAGTTAATTCAAAAAACTAAAATGTGCCTTAAAAGGTTTAGAGTTTTCCAAAAGATGTATTTTATGAATATGGGTATTTTGTCTGCATTTACATCTTACCACCAGCAGAGGGCACCAGAACACATGAATCTTCAGTTACTGAACGTAAAAAACAGCATGGTCTACATAGTAAATTTCAGGCCAGCCAGAGTTGCACATTGAGAACTACCTCAAAAGAAAAATTATAACTTTAATTATAATGACATTTATATGAAACATAACTATTTTTATAAAATTTAGTTATTCGTTATTATAAAACCCATCATTACTGGGATTTGTTAAAATCATATTAAGTACTATTTGCAAAGCACTGTTAGGCACTCAGCATCACCTTATAACAAAAAAGTTACCAATTCCATATGTACTATTTCTAGAAGTAATCTGAAATAACTTGTAAAAACAAACCCATTTAAGTCTTGTAAGGAATCAGGCAAATACTCAAGAACCTAAGATCTCAGTTCATTGCCTTCCTCCAAGATACTAGGTAAACCAACAATCAGGCTTCTGAGCAGGCTAGTCAGCAGGAAGAGGCCCAGATTCTCAGTTACTGATGCATCCAGTGCACTAGGCACTCAAATAGCATGCATTGCATGCAAGTAGTATATGAGGTAAAAGTTTAACCAGATACTTGAAATTAGTACTACTTACTTGAAATTTATCTTCAAGATAAATCCTCCTGTGAATATAGCTTGAGCTTTTTGTTTGTTTTGTTTTTGTTTTTGTTTTTCCAGACAGGGTTTCTCTGTGTAACAACCTGATTGTCCTGGAACTTGCTTTGTATATCAGGCTGGCCTCAAACTCAGAGATCTGCAGCCTGCCTCTGCCTCCTGAGTGCTGGGATTAAAGTTGGATTAAAGGTGTGTACTAACACTTCCTTTTTTCAGGGGGTAAGGTCTAAGGCGTGCTCTGGCTACAGTGACTAGGCTGACCTTTTTGCTTTTCTTGAAACACTTTATTGGTCTTTTGTGTCCTAAATTAAGACCCTTCGTGAAAGAACTGCAACTCGAATGGTTTAGTTGATTAGTTTTTTTTTTTTTTTAATCGTTGATTTTCATCTTGTTTTCTTTTTTGGACAAAATTTTGTTATATAGTCTAGGCTTGCCTGAAACTCAAGAGACCTTCCTTACTTCTCAAATTCTGAGATTACAGGCCCATGCCAGAACACTAAACTGCAATTAGAATGCTTTAATCAGATTAGGTAAGTTGCTGTCACCAAATGAATTCAAATGTTTTACTTAACCATTTGTTTAAGAATAAAGCCTAACCATTAGCAAGAACAATTGAATTTTCTCTCTCCCCCTACTTTCTGCATCCAGTTATCCAACAAACCTACACATTTGAAATCCTTTCACACATTTCTCTATTTCAAATCATTCTTCATTACTAATTGTCCACAAAGCTACACTACACAAACCTTTCCAATTTTGCCTGCTTTTATCCTTCCATTTATCTATCACACAGAAAAGAGCTAATTTAAAACATTAAACCAAAGAAACTGAGTTTTGTTCCCAGAATCCAAGTTGAGTGGCTCACAACTACTTGTAACACCCTCTGCCCTCTTCTGATCTCTGCAGGCACCTGTATTCCTGTGTGCATACCAAACTCCCACTCCATATATGTAACTAAAAATAATAAAAACAAACACTTTTTAAAAAGACATTAATGCAAAACAAAACCCCCAAACAACAAAAAAGCCAGGTGGTGGCAGCGAATGCCTTTAATCCCAGCACTTGTAAGGCAGAGGCAGGCAGATCTCTGTGAGTTTGAGGCCAGCCTGGTCTACAATGCAAGTTCCAGGACAGCCAGGGTTACACAGAGAAACCTTGTCTCAAAAAACAAAAAATAAACAAAAAAGACATTAATACCGTGAAAGTTAAATTCCAAACAACTTTTTTCTACACTTAGGGAGACCGAGACACAACTGAAAGCAAACTGTACTGTTGGAGTATTTTTTTTTTTTCTTTTTTTATCTTTTCTTTAAAAACAATGCTGAGGCTTAACTTGAGGGACCAGGGCTGTGATCCCAGCTTTTGGCAGGTGGTGGCGAAAAGCATCAGAAATTCAAGATCATCTTTGGCCAGCCTCAGCTACTTGAGACTATTGCAACAAGGCTGCAAGTCTCTCCCCGCCCCATCTCGTGTCCTCTCCCCCTCCCCCATCTCTCCAGGGTTTCTGTGTAGCTTTGGAGCCTGGTCTGGAATTTGAGCTCCAGACCAGGCTGGCCTTGAACTCACAGAGATCCACCTGCCTCTGCCTCCTGAGTGCTGGGATTAGAGGCGTGTACCAGCACCACCTGGCTACCCCTTAATTCTTAAATTAGGCAATATTGACCTGATAGTTCCTAGAATGAGCCTGGCACTTGGGATTTCCAAGACTCTTCAGCCTTTTCTTGTTTTCTTTTTCGAGGCAGAATCTGTGAAACCCAGGCTGTCCTGGAACTCTGTAGACCAGGCTGGCCTCCAAACTCAAGCTTCACCTGCCTCTGCCTCCCGAGTGCTGGGATTAAGGGCGGGCACCACCACTGTTGGGTTCTTTGGCCTTTTCTAATGTAGTTTTGTTATCTTCCTGGCACGAATTGAAGACATTCTAAAAGAAACACTTGTACTCTTCTCTTTAATAAGACTCCACGAAGCAGGAACTTCTCCAGAATTTTATGCTGGGTGAAGAAGAAGCCGATGCATGGCGATGCATGGTTCCAGACAGAGGACACCCTTTCTCTCACAAATAGATTTCACAGTTCATGCGTCGTGGCAGACCACCTTTCAGGCTGAAACTATGATGGGAAGGTATTTTATCGTGGTCAGGACCACTTAGTTATGCATACATACCACTTGCTTCCATTTAAACCCAGATGTCACATCAGGACTCTGAAGATAAACTTAAAGAGGGCCACGGGGGTCACTGGGCCTTTTCGTCCCTTTCTAAAGTGGGCACAATTCAATAAATCTCCTTCTGGCTTTTAAGTACTCTTGTCTGTAACGGGGCTACAGAGGACCAAGCCTGGCTGGTGAGAACTACCAGGGACCAGGCAACGACCTTAGCGCTTCTAGAGACAACCGCAGCCAGTTTCACCAGCTTCCCCAGGGAACCGCCTCTCTGGTTTCTGCGCACGCGCGCCTCTGCTCACCCCTCCCAGTCCTACAGTCCTCTACGCAGCCCGCGGAACGAGCCGCAAAGCGAAAGGCTATTGGTGGAGAGCGCAGCCAATGGGCGAGCCTGTTACTAGCCTACGCAGCGAGCGGCGTAGGAGCGGCACTTGAGGCCTGGAAGCGCTGCGCGGCCTCCGGGGTCGGAACCATGAGCTCCATTGGGACCGGGGTGAGTGTCTTCGCGCCGTCTTCTCCAGGTCGGCGTTGAAGGGAGTGTGGCGCTACGGGCCGCTGGAGCCCGGGCGCCGCCTGAGTCCTGGGGACGCGTGGCCTCCGCCGCGTCCCAGGCCCTCGTCTCGGTGACCCCGGCTCCTGCGGCGTTTCGGGCCCGGTGTGGCCGCCCCGCGCAGCCACAGCCTGGGTTGCTGAGTCACTTTCTTCCGCTGCTTGAAGAAACCGAAAGTGAAAACTCGTGCGGCCTGCCCGAGTGCATTCGGGCCCGAGTTCGACCCTGGAGAGCCCCCTCCCACCTCATCCCACCCCGTCCCCGTGCGAGTCCCTGTTGCTTGCAGTGCCCGGGATTGTGCCTGCAACCCGGCCTGTGGCCCGCCCGTGCAGGTGCTGCTGACTCACAGGCCTCCTCTGGACTCGAGTCACTGGGCAGTCCCTGGAAACCTGTCGTGACAGAACCTCGAAGGCTGGATCGCATGACTTCTTTGCCTTTCTCCTCCGATTGCTTTTCACGAACAAATTATTTTTGGCAAGGGTCATCTAGGGACCTTAGTGCCTCAGAATTTTGTGAAGTGTATTGAGGGTTTGCAAGTTGGGTGTTTTAATTTGCAAAACACACCCCGTGTGCAGTGATTTCCTCCACCTTTCCTTTGTTTCCGTATAGAAACTACTGAACGAATATCTGTTGATTATAACAGTAGAAGAATGAATTATAGGTTTCTTGGTTATTCTTATCTCCTCCATGATTTTGATGTTCGCCTGATGAGGTGGTGCCTCACACAGCCCTTGGGAGGTAGAGACAGGAGGATCTCTGTGAGTTCGAGGCCAACCTGGTCTACATAATGAGCTCCAGGATAACATAAAGAGACCCTGTCTTTAAAAAAAAAAACAAAAACAAAAATGATCCACGAAGATTTGATGCTCAAGATTAAATCTATTTACTGGTGTTTGGAATGATTTAATTGGTTACGAGGTACTGAAGCACTAATGTCATGTAATAGGTTTTTTGAATTTATGCTTAGTAATATACTCACTGCAGATTCACACTGCAGTGTGTCAGTGTTATTGTCCATCCACCAATAGTCATGTGATATTCCATGTGGAATATTTTAGTATAACAGTAATAACCTGAGCCTTAGGAAGTTTCACTGTTTAAGGCTTGTTTGCTGGCTTCACGTCTCTCAAGAGTTGTAAATACCAGTATCTGTTGCTCATTTCTGTCCATTTTATTTATTTATTTTTAACCTCTACTGCTGGGTAGATGGAAAGGCCAACCCAGGGCCTCAAGAGATAGTAGGCAAGCCAGTGAGTTTCAAATCCTAACTGTATTCTATTAAAAAAATACTGTGGGAGGGATTTGAGACAGGGCCATACTAAAAAGCCTAGGCTGACCTAGAACTCTGCTCCTCCTGTGTCAGCCTGGAGTGCTTATTATTTAGACAGGAAGCAAGGCAGCATTTGTGAATTCTCTAGTTGGACAGGCTCCTCTAGCCTTCAGCTCAGTGAATGGTCCAGTTTTCACGATCAAATGAGAAGGAAAATGGGTCATTTGTCTTTGATTGCTTTTTTATTTTACACTGAAAGCTATATATTCTTGAGCATTTTTCTCTCTCTTCCTCTCTCTCACACACACACACACAAACACACACACAAACCCCGTGTGTCTGTGTGTGTTCCCATATGTGTATTACAGGCCTAGGGATTAAACCTAGACCTTGTGCATGTTAGGTGAGCTCCATTCCTAGCTGTACAAGTGTTTTTATTTTTGTTTTTATGTTTGTGTCTCCAAAGGTTAGTGACTTCTTTATTGTATAGGCGAAGCCACTATTGTTAGGAATGTTTGTCTGAGCTACACACACACACACACACACACACACACACACACACACACACACACACACTTGTTGCCTCTAAATTTGTTTTAGCCTAAGCCAAAGTGATTTTTTTTTTTTTTTTTTTTTTTTAATGCTTCAATTTGGGCCTGTGAAATGGCTCACTTGATAAAGGTGCTTGCCACCAAGACTTAACAGCTGAATTGAGTCCCAGGTACCACAGGGTAGAGAGAGAATTGACTCTGGAAAGTTGTCCTGTGACCTCTTGGTGTACACCAGGGTACATGCACTGTAGATGACTGTAAATAGTGTGAATTAGTTCATACCACCTCCTCAGGTCTACACCTCAGCTATCAAGAATAAAATGTCAACTATCTCCTCCGGCCAAGTTTGGCCCTGGACCATGTTTTAGATTTTTCTCTCTTACTCGTTTCTTCTCCACTTACAAGACACCAATTCCTTGGTTTGGGCTAGGCTTATCCCTTCCATAAGGAAAATTCTTCATATCGTAGGTGACTTTTCCCTTGTCACTGAGGTCTGACTGCCTTAGTAAGGCTTTCCTTGCTAAGCAGTTTGTGGTAATTCCCAATATCCCTTACCCTTCATTTTCATCTTTCTTTTGTCTGACTTTGATCACACCTGTTAATATTGACCATGTATATTTGTGATTTCCTCTGATTTGAACATAAAAGGACTTTATATTTCCATGTAGTGACTCAATACATGTAGTGACATCAACAAATGTTGATGAGTGCTAAATGATTTATTTAACCAAGGTCTTTTCTTGGTTCCTGCCTTAGATAAAAATGTAAATGATCTAATGATCTGACTTCAGTGTTATTCATACAACACTCCTTTTTTTTTTTTTTTTTTTTTATTTTGAGACTGGGTTTCTCTCTAACAGTCTGGAACTCAGGCTGTCCTGGAACTCGATTTGTATACCAGGCTCACAGAGATCTGGCTGCTTCTGCCTCCTGAGTGCTGGGAGTAAAGGCATGTGCCATCATATCCAGCAGCAATGCTTTTTAAAAAGAGTTTTGTGTAAAGTTCTGACCTTGCTTGAGATTTGCATTCATTATTTAGACTATTTTTTAATAGCTGTTTTATGTAACATGTATGGACCCTGTACATGCCTAATGGAGGCCAGGAGAGGGCTTTGGATCCCCCTAGAACTGGAATTACAGATGGTTCTAAACCACCTTGTGAGTTCTGGGAACCCAACCCATATTCTCTGCAATAGAAACAGGTACCCATGACAGCTGAGCCATATCTTTTGTTATCTGGACCCATTACTTTTCAGGAGACATCTAAGGTGTGTAATTAGTTATCCCTGAGCAACAAAGCATTCTCTATTAGGATAAACATTCCTGGTGTTTGATCTATTTGGAAAGAATTGTATGACTGTTGTTGGCAAAGACATGTCCTGTAAACTTTCCATTGCTCTCTTTGTTGTCAGTATGATCTGTCAGCCTCTACGTTCTCTCCTGATGGAAGAGTCTTTCAAGTTGAGTATGCTATGAAGGCTGTGGAAAACAGTAGGTAAGAAGCACTGTTTTACTTGAGTGAATGTTTTAGCCAGGAATTATCTTTTATCTTGTATGTTGTGGCAATCAGACTTTGTATATTGCTTTAGTATAAACACATACCCTGAAGTAATTTCAACTTCTTTTATTTATTTTAATTATTTTTTTGTTTTTTGAGACTGGGTTTCTCTGTGTAACAGCACTAGCTGTCTTGGAGCACAATTTGTAGACCAGGCTGGCCTTAAACTCACAGATGTCTACCTCCCATTGCTGGGACAAAATGTGTGTGCCACCTTGCCTTGCATAATCTCAACTTTTTATTAGTCCTCTTCAGAGTTCTTTCTTGTACAGATCTTCCACCTTTACTTGGGTTCCAGGGTTTGACAGGTAATCAGGCTTGCATGTGGCACACTTTTACCTACTGTTGTTAGCCTTTTCAGTTTATTTTAAAAATTTTTTTCCTTTTACTTTATTCCATATGCATTGGTGTTTTACCTGCATATATGTCTGTATTGAGGATGTTGGATCCCCTGGAACTGGAGTTAGAGGCAGTTGTGACCTGATATGTGGGTGTTGGGAATTGAACCTGGATCCTTTGGAAGAGAAGCCTTTATTTTTTTAAAAAACATTCTTACTGTGTAGGCCTGACTGGTCTGGAACTCTGTAGGCCAGGGTGACCTAAGGAGATTCCTCTGCCTCCCAGCTGCTGGGTTTAAAGGTGCTTTTTTTCTGTATAAAGAAATAACTGGGACTGAGAGATAACTCAGGGGCTGAGTGTATGCTGCACAATCATGATGGTGGTGGAGACCCCAGTGCCACGAACTCGCTTAGCTTCCAGTGGCTGCCTATAACTCTGCTGCCCTCTATACATTTACCCACTCAGACATACACAGAGAATAGCAGATGTGCACACCCCTATTTTAAGAAAACTATTGAGGCCAGGCGGCGGTGGTGTCATACACCTTTAGTCTCAGCACTCGGGAGGCAGAGGCAGAGGCAGGCGGTTCTACAGAGTGAGTTCCAGGACAGCTAGGGCTGTTACATGTAGAAACCCTGTCTCAAAAAACCAAACCAAACCAAACCAATTAAAAAAAAAAAAAAAAAAAAAAAAAAAAAAAACTGTTGAGAATGTAGTTCAGTTGGTAGAGTGCTTGCTGCTTGTGTAGTATGCATGAAGCCCCAGATTTGACCTCTAGCACCCATAAGTGGTGTAGTGTTTAAACGGGTAATTTTAAGATTGTGTTCTATATCAAAGGGTGATTAATTTTTTCTTGTGTTGGGTGTATGATAGGAAAGTGCTTTGCCACTAGAAATACCTGTTAAGTTTAAGAAACACCAAAATAACTAATTAGGGGCACACAAGTAGGTGCCTAAAGCCACTATACTAGAAATATATATGCCATGATTATAACTGTTTTATGAAAGTATTCTTAGGGGGCTAGAGAAATGGTCTAGCATTTAAGACTGTACTGTTCTTGCAGCAACTACATGGCAGCTCACAACCACCTGAAACTCCAACTCGGGGATCTGTCACCTCTGATCTCCACAAGCTTCTGCACATGTGTGCGTACACACACACACACTCACACTCTAAAAAATAAAGAGATAGTGTACTCTTATATGAAAAGGCAAAGATGCTATTTTGGTCTCTTTAGTCTCATTGAAGAACCTAGCTGTGAAGGTTCTTATAAGTACTAGATTGTTAGGCCTCAGACTCAAAAGGACTCACCTGCCTCTACTCCCAAGTGCTTTTAAAGGAGTGCATCACCACACCCAACTGGAAGAGTTTTCTGTTTTTGGTTTGTGTGTGTGGGTGTGTGTTCCTGCCTGTCCTGGGACTCACTCTGTAGACCAGGCTACCTCAAACTCGAGATCTGCTTATCTCTGACTCTTGAGTGCTGGGATTAAAGGGAGGTGCCACCACTGCCCAGCTGGAAATGTTTTATTGTGTGTATTCTGTGTGTGTTCAGAGGCATAGAGAGCAGGGGACAATTTGTGGGATTGTGGTGGACAGTAGAACTTGGACTAAACTTGGGTCATAATGCTTAAACACTCAGTCATCTTGACAGCCCCACAAACTTTTATATCTTTATTTTATTTTACATCTTCAGTATATAGCCAAAACCGACAAAGGACTTGCTATGTTGCCTAGACCTTAAAACTTGTGATCTTGTAGTTTCAGCCTACTGACATGTGTCACTATGTACAGGTTTTTGTATGCTTTATATTTTAAAAAAACTATTGGGGATCTGAAAAAGCTTTTATTTCTGTAGGCCATAGGTTATATCAGCACTTAACATAAGTAAAAGCTGAATATTTAAGTATTAGTTTACTTGAATAATAGAAATGTTTGCATGTTTCTGTTAAGGTATAGTCTCTGCCTCTCCCTAGCCCTGGTTTCCTGAATGTCTTTGAGAGTATTCCTAACCAGACACTTAGGAAGATGGGAGCTGGCAGAATCCCAAGGGCAGTGACCCACACAAGAGAGGTCTTACACCTGAGTTTGACCATTGATGTATTACTTGCTAATGATGGACATACAATCTTTTTGCCTCAGCTTATTTATTTGTAAAATGTTTTCAGAGCTTTTGAAAAAATTAGCCAGTATATGGGGCCTGCTGGTGGTAATGTAGTTCAGTGGTAGAATACTGCCTAGCATGTATAGTTCTTAGGTTCCATCCTGAGCACCACACAAAGAAAAATCAGATTGACAGGAGAATTTATTGGTCGTTACAACAAATACCTAATGATAAATTGCTGACCTATTTAATATTACTAATACTAATATTTAATACTTATTAAAATAGCTTATAGTTGTAAATACAGTTAGCTCAGTTTACACATAGTTCTACAGGTTCAACCAGCTGAAGTTAAAAAAAAAACGAAAAGAAAAAAACAAAAACTCAGGAGAGCTGGGTGGTGGTTTGTACACCTTTAATCCCAGCACTCAGGAGGCAGAGGCAGGTGGATCTCTTGAATTCAAGGCCAGCCTGGTCTACAGAGGGAGTTCTAGGACAGCCAAGGTTGTTACACAGAGAAAACATGCCTAGACTTAGAAAGGGCCCAGAATGTAGTTTATTGGTAATGCGCTTACCTAACATGCACAAAGCCTTGGGTTTGATCCCCAGCACCACACACAAAACAAAGATGAGCAGGACAGATCCTACAGAGCTGAAGATTTGCTGGTGCCGTCCCTGACTCAACGGAAAAAAAACTAAGTTTTATAAAATTAATAATTGTTACATATTAGCATTACTAATAATGTTAATGAAATAAAAAATAGAGGACCAGGGATGTAGTAGAGTGGTAGAGTGTCTGCCTACAATATGCAAAGCCTGGTTGGATTTCTTGTACCCCTCCCCACCAGCAGAGAGGGAAATTAAGTAAGATTTTAATCTTGTCAGCACCATGCAGTTTGTCTGTATTTTACTTGAGATTAAGATCTGAGTTGTGTTTGATGGTAATGGTGCACCCCTTTTATCATAGGACATGGGAGGCAGAGACAGGTGGGTCTCTGAGTTCCAGGACAGCCAGGGATACACAAAACCTGTCTCAAAAAATACTAAAAGAAGATCCAAGTTGAAACAGGACATATATTTTATTGATTTATATATTTACTAGAAGCAGTACATACTTATTGCAGAAAAATTGATAGAAACATGAAAAGAAAAATACTTATTAGTCATTCTTTTTAGTTTGTATGTAGTGCATCTTTTTTGTGTATACTATACACCTTTGTTTTAAAGACAGATCTCACTATCTCACTGGGTCTGGTGTAGCGTGGCACACTTGTTTAATCTCAGCACTGAGAGGCAGGTTATTGTGAGTTCCAGGCCAGCCAAGGGCTACATAGTAGGACTATCTTTTTGTTGTTATTTGAGACAGGGTGCCACCATATTTGGCCTCTGGGTTTTTTGTTTTGTTTTTTCCCTTTTCTTTTTCTAGATAGGATTCTCAGTAAAACAGTCCAGGTTATCCTGGAACTTGCTCTGTAGACCAGGCTGTCCTCGAACTTGTAGAGACCCACCTGCCTCTGCCTCTCAGGTGCTGAGATTAAAGGCATGTGCCACCACCACCTGCAACTAGTTAAAATATTTTAAAGTGGGCCAGTAAGATGACTTCATGTCACCAGCCCTGAATTTGATCCCAAATCCACATGGGGGAAGGAAAGAAGTACTCCCTTGGTTGTCCTCTGACCTCTGTGCATGTGAATATGAGAGTACACACACCGAAAATATAAATGCAGTAAATAAAGTAATGCCAGGTTTAACAAAAATACATGTTTAAGGATATTGAGTTTTAGATATTACATTTTGTGTATTGTTAAGATAGTTCCCATGTGTCTTAGGCTATCCAACACACTATGTAGCAGAGAATGACCTTGAACTTCTGACATGTCTGTCTAGTGCTTGGATTGCAGATGTGTACCACTATGCCTGGCATCTCTGTGATCCTGGGGTTTGAACCAAGGGCTTCATTCCTGCTAGGCTCTACCAATTAAGCTGTTATCCCCAGCCCAAAGTTAGCTTCGTAGCCCAAGTAACCTTGAACTTTTGATCCTCTTGCGGGCTCCATCTCCCAAGTACTGGATTACAAGTATGTACACACCATTTTTCTTGTTTGAACTTAGAGCTTTCACAAGCTAGACCATTGCTGTGTCATCTGAATTGTATCCAACCCTTTGATTTTATTTATTTTATATATAAGTTTAAGTTTCTTCTATTTCAACTAAGAAAAATTTCTTCTTGTTTCAGTACAGCTATTGGGATCAGATGTAAAGACGGTGTTGTGTTTGGGGTAGAAAAATTAGTCCTTTCTAAACTTTATGAAGAAGGCTCCAATAAACGACTTTTTAATGTTGATCGACATGTTGGAATGGTAAGATCACACCTTAAAATGTTCACCTTATTTTTCTGATTACTTCTGATATAAACAAAAGACATTACAGTCTGTTTTTAAGAATTTATTAATACTAAGGTAGTAATGTTTGAGCAGCCACATCAATAAATTTTATTGAGTTTTGATCATTCAATTTCTAAAACAAAGGAAACAATTTCATAACCTTACTGGTGACAAGGAAATTCAAATTGCCTTAAGGATGAGAAAGTGATTTGGAGTATGCAGAATTGAGATCTTAATAGCATAGATCACTAAGGGGATAAATATTTTCAGGCAAAGAATGTTAAGCTTTTTGTTTCCACTAAATGTTATCAAAACACTTTGTAGTAAGGTATAAGAAGAAATTATGTAAAGTGAAAGAAATACATTAATAGCTCCTTAGGCTTTTTCTTAGTTCATACAGCTTGATAGCTAAACCATCTGAGTGTAAATCAAACCTCAAACTCACAGAGATCCACCTGCCTCTGCCTCCCAAGTGCTGGGATTAAAGGGGTGTGCCACCACCACCTGACTGGCTAGGGCTTTGTTTTTTATTCTTTGCAATTAGGTGGTAATTTGGGAATGTGAACTCTGATCCAAATGTCCTTTTTGAACGCTGAGCATTTGAGTTGTAATTAACTATGATCTTACATTAAAACATCAAAATTACTTTTAGAGCCCTTTAAGCAGAGATGGTATTTAAATGATACTTATAGTCGATGGTTTTCCTTTGGTATCTATAGTACTGTCTATTAAATTGGTTCTTTCTTCCTCCAGGCAGTTGCAGGTCTGCTGGCAGATGCTCGTTCCTTAGCAGACATAGCAAGAGAAGAAGCATCCAACTTTAGATCTAACTTTGGCTATAACATTCCTCTAAAAGTAAGTTGATAATATGTTGAGGAACCTTTTGAACAGTAATGGAAATGTATTAATAAGGTTATTTTTCCCTCCATAATTACAGCATCTTGCAGACAGAGTGGCCATGTATGTACACGCTTATACACTCTACAGTGCTGTTAGACCTTTTGGCTGCAGGTATGAAATTTTGTGAGACCTTTAAGTCTTAATCATACAGTAGTTATTTTTCTTCACAAATTTTTTTTCCTTTCCTTTTTTTCCCTAAGACAGGGTTTCTCAGTAGTATGGAGCCAGTCCTGGAACTTGCTTGCTCTGTAGATCAGGCTGGCCTTCAAATCACAGAGATCCACCTGCCTTTGCTGGCATCAAAGGTGTGGGTTACCACTGTTCAGCTAGCCTTTTCTTAATATCTGTTCTACCAGTGTGCCACGGTTACAGACATACACCAAACTCTTTTTTTTTGTCCATTTTGGGAATTCAAACTCAGGTTCTCATGTTTGTGCAACAAGCACTCTCCTCACTGAGAAACCTTTCCCTGAGCCTCAGATTAGCCTCTGAGACACTTGAAATATAAATTGTCACCAAGAAGTAGTAGGCAACCGTTAAAAGTGTACTTTTAAGCTGGATATGATGGTGCATGCCTGTGATCCCTGTCCTCAAGAGGCTGAGGTAAGAGGATTGCCTCAAGTTCAGGCTCAGTTTAGGCTATACAGTGAGTTCCGGGCTGGGATATCGAGGGAAACAAAATCCTAAAAACTGTATAGTGAAAGGAATCATAGTCCTGAAGTGATTGTAATTATGATTTTAATCTAACCATAATAAATTCTCTGCAGTTATGTCCCTGATAATCAAGTATTTTCTATCTTGACATGAGGTATAGCTATTTAAACGTTTAAATAAAATGATTCTAAGTGGAGGTGGGATTTTTTTTTCTTAAGCAGTCAGCAGTGATTCTATACAAAATTACAATTCATAATTTAGGATAGTCAGTTTCTGTTGCTAAGATGAAGTGTTTACTGGAGAAAGGGGATTCTCTTGTAGCAAGAAATAGAATAGTTGTTAAATTGTAATAAGGGTTCTTGGGAGAACTGTTATGACTAAGTTTGAGGTGGTTGGAGGTGTAGTACTTAAATATCATGAGCAAAGCCCTGTGTCTGTTTTCCAACAACTCATAAGCTAGTCATGGTAGTGTAGCCTGTAATCTTCATACTTGTGAGGTGAGCGGGGAAGGTCAGAAGTTATTGTTAGCTACATAGTTGAGACCAACTTGGGATACAAAAGACTGTCTCTAAGAAAACAAAATCTGGTTGGCTATGCTTAATCACAATCAGGTATCTTATTATATAGCTATAATCCAGCCTTTAAATTGTTTATCCACCACATTTCAATAGAGAAATGACAGATCTATTGAAAACCTGAATCTTATTACCAGTTAGACCCCAATAGCGCATTGTTAAGGGTGTCATTCAGATTACTCATTAAAGCTCTCTTTGACTGTAGAGTGCCTTTCATTGTGACTGAGTTCCATGTTCATCAGCTCCTTTCTAGGAATAGTGGTTTCTTGGGCATGTACCATGAATCAGTCTTTAATGTGGAGACACAGAGATCACACTGATGAAACAGCCAGTAGAGATGAAATGATAGGATCTAGGCGTTGGTACTGAATACTTGGGGTGGCAGTTAAGGAGTGGTCTGTTTCCAGAGTGGTGACAAGGAAACGTGCATGAAATATTGGGGGATGGGTGAAGACTGTCATATGCTGGTGTCAAATACGGGCATTTCCGGGAGTACACAGTAAAAAGGTATGCAGAAGGGATGCTACAGATGTACAAAGAGGCCAATGTGTAACAGCTCCAAAATGAAAGGTTTTAGGAGAGGTCATGCTGAGGGGTTTTTAAATGATAATTAGATATATATTCTGAAAGAATTGCATCAGTTTGGATGTGGAAAAGCTGGGCACAGATTGGGATGGTTGGCTCTTGGGTTGTTATGCATGGTGTGATAGGCTAACATAAGGCTGGTTTCTCTAAAAGAAATAGTTTCAGAAAATTGGTAATTCATGATCATTTAGCAAACCTAATTTTAATTTGCTGAACATATAAAATATTGAGCCATTTGTGATCATTGCTTTCACCACAGTTGTCCCTTTAGCCTTTTACTGTACAGTCGCTTTGCCCATCAGGCCCTTTCCTTCTCTCACTACATTGCTGACATTGCAGAATAAAAAACTTCATAAGAAAGGTTGACTAGCCAGGCCATATTGGTGCACACCTTTAAAAGAAAGAAAGATTGACTAAACAGGTCACATGGAGTTTGAATACTCTAGTTTAATAACTAGTTTTTATTAAAGCTGTATTATCAAACGAAGAACTTAAACTATGTTATGTTTCTTACTAATTTATCAGAGAAAATCTAATTACAGTTTCATCATAGTGGTCTTCTATATAATGGTACTGTGTGTGAATCATGTTGTAAACTGTTGTTTTTATGCAGTTTCATGTTAGGGTCTTACAGTTCGAATGATGGTGCACAGCTTTATATGATTGATCCCTCGGGTGTTTCATATGTGAGTACATTTTACATAATTTAAAATTCTACTGTAGTTAAATGCCATTTCATTACCACTCACCACATTTGCAATTGTGTAAGATCTTGTTTAAACTCAGTTGAAGCTGGGCATAGTGATGGAGGCCAGTAGTCCAAGCTACTTAGGGAGGAGAGGCAGGGAATTACAAATTCAAGGCTAGCCTGAGCTATCACAAAAAAATCTTGACAGCTTACTAAAGATTAAAAGACTCAGAGTAAAAGAAACACCAGGGTGTAGCAAAATGGTTGAATGAGGCCTTGGCTTTAATCCACAGCATTAAATAGTAAATACCTAAAGTTGGGCCATGGTGGCACATGACCTTTAATTTCAGCACTCAGATGGATCTGTGAGTTCCAGGACAGCCAAGACTATTGTACACAGAGACCCTGTCTTGGGGAGGGAAAAGAATAAATACCCTAAACTCATTTGAGGAAAGTATTTTTTTATATTAATGAACATACTGCTATGAAGTAGAGAACATTCATGACTGGCTTTCAGGATGCTCATTACAGGAACTACCTTGTAAACAATTTTTTTTTTTTTGAGTATGTATATGATTGTGTGATTGTCTCATCATTGTATTATGTCTTAAGTCTGAATATAGGGCAAGGTGTGCTGCTCAGTAGTAGAGCAGCTGGGTTGGAAATCTAGCACAGGGGTGGGAACCAACTTAAATTTTAAATTAGATTTACTCATTTTATTTTTGTGTGTGTTTTGTCTGTATGTATGTGAATCTTGTCTGTGCTTGGTACCTGCAAAGGTCAGTAGAGTGCATTGAAGCCTTTGGAGCTAGAGTTAATGATGTTTGTAAACAGTCATGTAGGTGCTGGGAATTGAACATAACATCTGCAAGAACAGCAAGTGCTCTAAAACACAGGGCCTCCTGTTCAGCCCCAACTTAGATTTTTCTAGAAGTAGGCTTGCTATTCCTGACATTCATGTGAATGTATCTGGCTATTTCTTTAATTTGTTCTTGTTTGTTCGTTTGTTTCTTGAGAGGCGGGTCTTACCATGTTGTCTTGACTGGTCTCTAATCAGAGATCTACCTGCCTCTATGACCCAAGTGTTGGAATTAGAGGTGTGCACCATCATAATATGTACTAATTGACTTTTCTTCTTTCTCTCATTTTTACATAGGGTTATTGGGGCTGTGCCATTGGCAAAGCCAGGCAAGCTGCAAAGACAGAAATAGAAAAGCTTCAGGTAAAGTATATAGAATTGTGGGTTTGGATAGAACTGGGATTTACAAACCTCTTAGTCCAGTAATATGTGGCCTGTTGTTTAGAAACTTTGTCAAGTTAACTGGTTAAATTATCTGTGACTTGTGTATCCCTCCATGAATTTGTTTGCTTCTGTAAAGACTTGAGGAAAAAAAATTACAAAACAATTTTTTAAAGATTTACTTCTTGTAGCCAGGTGATGGTGGTGCATGCCATTAATCCCAGCACTTGGGAGGCAGAGGCAGGCAGATCCTCTGTGAGTTTGAGACCAGTCTGGTCTACAAAAGCTAGTTCCAGGACAGCCTCCAAAGCCTGTCTCGAAAAACCAAAAATAAAATAAAATAAAAGAAAGACAGACAGACAGACGATTGACATCTTGTGTATGAGGGGTTTGCCTGCATAAATAAATATCTGTGTCTAGTACCTAAGGAGGCCTGAAGAAGGGATCTGCCTCCCTGGATCTGTAGTGATGGTGTGAGCACGTAGGTGTTGTGGAACTGAACCTGGGTCCCTCTGCAAGAGAATTAAGTGCTCTTAAACCATCTTTCTAGCCCCCAAACAAAAAATCCTTTAAGTCCATTCTTAGGTCAACTGCAATTTTAAAAAAAGGTTTTTGTTTTGTTTTGATTTTTCTTCTACATCTTGTCCTTGGACACAGCTTTATTTTAAAAATCTTAGTGTTTGCTCAAGTGCTTTTCCTTACTTTGTGCCTAAAGAAAGCATGAAGTTTAAAACTTCCCTTTACCCTTTAAATGTGGCTTAGTGGGTGTACCCCTGTAATCTTGGGATTCAGAAGGATTTAATGCAAATTTAGAGGTCAGCCTGGGCTAAGCATTGAGATAAAACCACCCACTTTTTGCTAGCCATAAACTAGATGTTCATCTATTAGTATATTCTCTTTAAAGCTTGATTTTCCCAAATACTCTAGTTATTTATCGTCTTCTTTTGCTACCTGAAGTTTCAAATTTTTTATATATACACTTGTGAATGCAGTTGCCTACAGAGGCCAGAAGAAAATATCACCTCCCAGGGGCTGGAGAGATGGCTCAGAGGTTAAGAGCACTGGTTACTCTTCCAAAGGTCCTGAGTTCAATTCCCAGCAACCACATGGTGGCTCACAGCCATCTGTAATTGGGTCTGGTGCCCTCTTCCTGGTGTTGAAGCAGACATGTAAGCAGAGCATTGTAAACACAATAAATCTTACAAAAAAAAAAAAAAAAAAAAAAAAAATCACCTCCCTTGGAACTAGAATTGCATACTCTGATGGTTAGCTACCTGATATGGGTGATGGTCCTAAACAAATGAACAAAATATTAATGAATCTCTTTGAAAGATAACATAGTTAAATCTTGTATCATAATTTGAACCACTATGAGTATTATAATCTTTCACCACCTTAGTATCTGAAAAATGAAAACTGGTTTGCTCAAACACTTTTAAACCTGTCATTATAGTTCCAACTCTGTACCTCAATCATGGGTGTGTGCCAGTACACTAGCCAGTTCTTCTGATGCCTATAGTATTCAGACGCCTAAGCTGGATACCCAACTAGATGTTTCTCCTGATTTCTAATTCTTTACTGGAGAACAATGAGTTGTTTCTAATGTAATGTAAACAGCTTTTTTTGTTTGTATTTTTGAGTTAAGTCTCACTGTGTAATCTGGTTGATACATAAGCTTTTGAGCACATGTGCCATGGTATGCTATTGGAAGTAGTGTGTGTGTGTGTGTGGTATATGCCATTCACTACAGATTGAGTCATCTCACCTGTTTGGCTTCTTAATTTACTTTTTTCCTTCTTCCTACTTTTGCTCTATGCTTTTATCTTCCATGAAATCAAAGGAAATAAAATCCTTTAAATATATTTATATCACCTGAAACAATTCCTTTAATAACCTAATTAAACCTTTTTGTTTTGTTTTTTGGGACAGAGTTTCTCTGTAACTGCACTGGCTGTCATGGAGTTCACTTTATAGACCAGGCTGGTCTTGAATGCAGAGATCTGCCTGCTTATGCCTGTTGAGTGCTGGGATTAAAACTGTGCACCACCACCCAGCTGATTCTTAAAAGTTGTTAAAACGGGTGTCAATGGTGCACACCTTTAATCCCAGCACTCAGGAGGCAGAGGCAGGTGGATCTCTGTGCATTTGGGAGGCCAGCCTGATCTACAGAGTGAGTTCTAGGACAACCAAGCCTTCACAGAGAAGCCTTGTCACCTAAAAAGAAAAGTTGTCCCTGGAGCTCTGGAGATGACTCAGTGGTCGAGGGCACTTACTGTTCCTGCAGAGGATCAGTTCTCACCTGTCAGTTCATAACCTCCTATATAATTAATTAATTGGATTAGGCTATTGTCCAATCTTAAAGTAAAAGAGCACAGGTAATTAATACTATGCTATGAAAATAGGCAAATAGTTTATACATTCTCTCTCTTTCCTTTGAGACAGGGTCTATATATAGCCCAGGCAGTCCTGGAGCTTGCTTTGTTGACCAGGCTTGGCTTCTAATTCTCAGAAATCTGTCTCTGCCTCCCAAGTGTTGCAATTAAAGGTGTGCATCACCACTCCTGGTCTGATACATTACATAAAATTAATTAGTATGCTTTTCTTGTAGATGAAAGAAATGACTTGCCGTGATGTAGTTAAAGAAGTTGCAAAAATGTAAGTTGTTTGAAACTTTTATCTGCCACCCAGAAAAAAAAAAAAAAATCTTGACCTAATGTCGCTGTACATAATTCTTAAGAGGCTATTATGTTTGAAAATGTTTTTGTATATGGGGTGTGTACTGGGAATTGAACTTAGGGCTTTATATATGCTAAGTATGTGCTGTACCACTGAGATAAAACCCTGAATATATTCAAGTTACATTTTTATTTGGAAACAAAAGTTTCACAACATAGCCCTGGATACCCTAGAAATCAAAAGAGAATCCATCTGTTTCTATCTCTGGGATTAAAGGCATGTGCCTGGAAGTTACATCTTCAAGTAATGAATGGGGTAGGGAAATAAAGCTTGTGACAAACCGGAGACCACTGCTGTTCCATCTTGGAGGCAGCCTTCCAGACCAGATGCGTCTGACGTGGAGCATCCTTGTGATGGCCACCTCCTGTCTCATAGTGTTTGTCTAGGCATATATGTGCACAAGCAATGCAACAGCTGGGCCACTGCTGCCCATCTGGCATTCTAGGCATGCAACTTAGGTGTGTCAGGGTCTCTTATGGTGTAACTTACCCTGGAGGTCCTCCTTGCCCTACCAGAGCTATTTATTAATTTTTTTGTTGAGGTTACTTCTTCCAACCAGCCCCTTCCTCCAGGCTCCTGGAGGGTGTACTGAAGTGTTGAGGGTGGTTGTGCTGTCCACAAATCCTATTCTAATTCCTGCACCTTTAGTAGGTCCCAAGGCAATGTGTCTCTGAGAGGAAGAACTTGCACAGTAGCAAAATTAAGGGGAGTGGGATACCATACCACCCTGAGCACACTTCTGTGGGGAGGGGGGGAATAGTTGTTGGCCTTGTACTGTCTGCTCACTAGCTTTAAAGTTGAGGGAGGGACAGAGTATCAATGCCTTGATTTAATTTAGCAGCTGTGTTTCTGGGATCATGCTGCTTGGGCATCAGGGATGAGGCTTATTTAAGAGGAGTAGCTTGTCTTCTTAACTGCTGAGCTATCATCCAGTCCCTAAAGATCATATTTTTAATAAAGATATATTAATTAAATATTTTGGTATATTTTTTTAATTTGTAAATGGGGTATAGAAATAAAGATTGTGATAAAGTAAACTTGTATATATGTAGTAGGATTCAAAGACAGGAAGAGGACATAGTAGACATTTAGAAATTCGACTTTTGAATGCTTACAAGGGCTGGAGAATTGGCTTAGCAGTTAAGAGCACTTGTTGCTCTTGCAGGGGACCTTGGTTCCATTCCCTCCACCCACATGCTGACCATATGTAACTCCAGTTAGAAGGGGTCTGAGATTGACCCCCCTTCTGACCTACATGGGTAACAAAGCACACACATACATATAGGCAAAACATTCATACACATAAAATAAGTAAATCTATACTATGTTTTTTATAAAACAGTAAACACTGTGGGTGTATATGTGTTGCTAGAATAGAACATGGGCATCACACATACTGACCCTTTTCTGACGTTGAGTCACACACTTAGCCTCACTAACTTTATAGTTGTCTCTGTATGGGATTTTAGAGGCTGGCTTGTGATTACCAGCTGCTGTTTGAATCTTTTTCAGGTTTATTATATTCATCATATATGGCTTTTTTTTTTTTAACAAAACTTTTAAAATTAAGAAAACAGGATTAATATTTCAGGTACAAAGTGAGACCAGATAACAAGTTTTGAAATATTAAGCAATAAAAGTCAGAACACCAGGTGGCTGGTAATTCAAAAAGATACCTACTCACTCAGGAAGCAGAGGCAAATGGATCTCTGAGTTTGAGGCCAGCCTAGCCTATAGAGTGAGTTCCAGGACAGTCTGGACTATACAGAGAAAGCCTGTCTCAAAAAAGCCCTCACCCTCAGAAAAGTAATTGTAGACTAAAGTGCCAGCACTTCTATTAAAATATCTTGTAGATACCTTCTCAGGTAAACTACATGAACAAGTTTATTGAGTTGGTTCTTCATGCAATAGAAATTTTCAGGTATTGTATTTTATACTACAAACAAGTAGAAATCTGGGTTCGATGATGATTAATAAAAAGATGATGCTTTTAATATCTTACAAAGGGATTTTGTTTCCTGCTATTACAGTTCTTTGCAAGACCCCTCTCCCCTATTCACAGTCTATTGTGAAGCAAGCAGTCACTCTTTTTTTTTTTTAACTTTGTATTGATTTTTATGCATTTTACATCTCCCTATTCCTTTGCCCTTGCAGCCTCCTTCCCAAAATAAAATTTAAAAGGGAAAAAAAAAGAATCTCATCATGGAAGCTGTAGTGTGACAGACACCGAGTCCATAAATCCTTGCACGCAGTGCTCTTTTACCAGTGAAGAACTATATTACGTTAGAAAGTGAAAGTAATTTCCTTAAAATAGTGTGAATATGATACAATCCAGTTTCTCTGAGGCAATCTTTCAAGTCAGCCCTTTGGCACCTTTAATACTTTTGTGTAAGCGGTATGTAGACGTTTGGAAATTCCCTCTCAGGAAGCCATCCTTTCCTGTGTAACTAAGGTACTCTCTTGCTGTAGTCTATAACAAGGCTTTCACAGAGCCTCCAAAGGAAGTATAAGGAGGAAAGCTTTGTGTGGGTACCTTTTGTGTTGGGTGGGGGGAGCGGAGTGTTAATTTGTAGCCAGCCTCATTCAGAACTTCCTGCCTTAGCCTCCTGAGACTGTAGACATGAGCCATTGTTGTCAGCTGTTACTCAATTGTTTATACTGTTATTGTAACTGCTTATATGCTTTATTGTTTGTAAGTCTGTAATGTGTTTACATCATAACAACTAGTCATAGTGGCATTTAAGTAATTTGGACAGGGGTTTAAATTATTGGTTAGTTTTTGAAGTTTAATTTGTTTAATAGAAAAAAGTGGGTTATCTTGAAAAAGCACACAATTCATGATGGCCTTTCCATCTCCAGCCTGTTTTCTTTCTGAGATGGTTTTTTTTTTTTTTATTTGAAGCTTTAAAAACTGAACAATAGAGGTAATCAGTATCTGTAGGGATTTATCATTTTAAGAATTTTTTAAAAAATTTTCTGCGTGTAAGTATTTCACTTGTATGTACCATGTGTGTATGTGGTGCCCAAGGGGGCCAGAGAAGGTATTGGATACCCTGGAAAGAGTTACTGATGGTTTTAAGTCAGCATCCTGTGGGTGCTGAGAACCAAGTGCTGTCTCAAACTCCTAATTTGTCTTTTTTATAACGTTAAAACTAGACTGGGGAGTGTACTATTTTATAAATAACACCAGGCATGAAATGTTCAGCTTGTACTCGGTGTCCATAGAACTTGTCCTGGTGTCAATGTCTTCTTTTCTCTTGTAGAATTTATATAGTACATGATGAAGTTAAGGACAAAGCTTTTGAACTAGAGCTCAGCTGGGTTGGTGAATGTAAGTTACCTTTGACTTGTATATGTTCTAGAATTCATTTGCATGTTAGGATGAGTTAATGTGACTGCTCTATGCAGTAATTGATGTGAATACTTGTCATTGAAACATCTACGTGATGTTTTATCTCCTTGTCGTACTGTTATTTTCACAAGTAAGCTCAATTTGGAAGACTTGAGTATTGGGGGAGGAATCAACAAAAAATGAACCCTACTTACTTGTACACTAGGGAAAGGGAATGGTATTGCAAATCACAATCCTCAGTTTTAATATATGGTTTGACTTTACAGTAACTAAAGGAAGACATGAAATTGTTCCAAAAGATATAAGGGAGGAAGCAGAAAAATATGCCAAGGTAAGCAACAGCATAAACACTGTTGTAAACACTCCTATGGGCTGAGTCATAAGGTAACTTGGTTGATATGTGAACTAAGGATAACAGTTTTTTTAGGTTACTTCCAGAGAGGATAGACTTGTCCTAGTTTTTTTAAAAAAAAGTTCTACTTGAAGTTTCCAATTCTGCCAGGTGTGGTGGTGGTGCTCCTAATACTCAGGAGGCAGAAGCAGGTGATCTCTGAGTTCCAAGCCAGCCTGGTCTATAAAATTCCAGGTTATCTAGGGCTACACAGAGAAATCCTGTCTCTAAAAACAAACAAACAAACAAACAAAAACGAAAGAAAGGAAGAAAATTCCAAGATGCCCCCCCCACACATTTAATGCTTTTATATTAAATCATCACTTATACACTCAGTTATCTTTAAGGTACTTTTTTGTTTTTTTAAGACAGAGTTTCTCTGTGTATCCCTACCTGTCCTGGAACTCACTCTGTAGACCAGGCTGGTCTCAAACTCACAGAGATCCTCCTGCCTCTCTTTCCTGAGTGCTGGGATTAAAGGCACTCTTCACCAACGCCCGGCTAATACAATTTTTTTTTTTTTTGAGGTAGTATTTTTAAAGTATAAATAACAGAGGTTGTAGTTACAGAAGTTTAAAAATGTAGGTTCCATAGGATGTAACAAGATGTAAAACTTAAAGTACTTTTTTTTCTTTTAACAGGAATCTTTGAAGGAAGAAGATGAATCCGATGATGATAATATGTAATATTTTCTTCTTCATCTCTTCTGTTTTACATTTTTGTGACAGTTTCATATTACTAGCACCATGGATCATATATACCCACTGATCAATTTTCATTAAATTTTTGTCTTATAAACATTCATTGTATTCATGTTTGATTAAAAATTCTTAGTGGGGTTGGGCTGGAGAGATGGCTCGGAGGTTAAAGAGCACTGGCTGTTCTTCCAGGTTCAATTCCCAACAAGCACTTAGCAACTCACACTTGTCTGTAACTCCAGTTCCAGGACTTCTGACATCCTCACACAGACGTGCGTGCAGCCAAAACACCAATAAATATAAAAATACATTTGTGTGTGTGCATGTATGTGTATTCTTAGTGCTATGTGGGCATGGTGCATGCCTTTAATCCCAGTATTTGGGAGGCAGAAGCAGATGGGTCTACAAAGCAAGTTGTTACTTTTACAGCCAGGGCTACACTGAGAAACCCTATCTCAAAACAATCAAAAAAATACATTGTCTTACCTAGAATTAAAAAGAAGTTTTAGATTAATTTTGTGTTGTGTTTTTGCACATGTATATATACCATGTCCTTACCTGGTACCCATGGAGGCCAAAAAGAAGTATTTAGATCTCCTGGAACTAGAGTAATGGATGGCTATGAAAGACTACGGGTGTTGGAAACTGTTCCTAATCCTGTTGTAAAAACAAGTCCCCTTAACCACTGAGCCATCTCTCTAGCCCTCTTTAAATACAAAGATCATATTCTACTGTGGCCTTTGTATAAAAAAAATCCAGTTTAGTAGGTGAAACTATGTTTATAATTAGGGTAAACAATTTTGCTTTTTCCTTTATAGTGATGAAGGATGGACACCTTATAGATTAACAGTTTCTATTCAGTCATCTCAACTGCTTGACACAACCCAATCCCTCCATACTGTTTTAATAAGATTTGGTTACATCTAGTGTACATGTAGCCCTGGGGCTGATTCCTTGTAGGGCATTGTATGCCATGTACTGGTATTTGTCAGTATTGTGATAAAAAAGCAAGTTTCTGAACTTCAAGTAAAGCAGAAAGAATTTTAATTCAGGTCAAGGAAACCTACCAGTTTATGTTACTAGGCTTTCCAAAGAATCTAGTCTCTGTTCACTGAGTTGAGATATTTGGTACTGCTGTACTTGGAACACTTATGTGAATTAAGAATATCATTTTACCTGAATATCTTTACTATGCAATCAACTCAAAAAAATTTCAACATCATGACTTCTATGTGCTACATTTTATAATCTATGCATTTAGCTCAAATTGACAGAAGTGTTGGCTGGCTTTGGATCTATTTTCAGATAGAGAATATAAAATATGTCTAGTCCTATGTATTCTTAACTATTTTATGCATTAATGGGACATGAGTTTTGCTGAGTTGCTGATATAACTTCTTAAATTCACTAAGTACACCTAAACCATTTTTAAGTGGTTTTAAAGAAACCTTTATTTTAGCAGCTAAGTAGAAGCTACTATAAATACTATAACAGATCAGTATTAAGATCAGAAGATGTATCTTAACTATAGCTGTTAGGAAAGCAAATCATGACTTTTAAAATACAGTACACAAAGTCTAGGTTTAGTGTAGGGATAGTGTAGGAATAGCTGGACTTTTGTGGAGAAAGTGGCACATTGTAATTTGATTGAGTAAATACCTTATAACCAGAAATCACCTTGATATTGGCACCTGAAACAACAGAAAGGCCTGTGCCTCTGGAGTGCAGTGCTGGGATTAAAAATGTGCTGGTCGTGGTGGATGGCATGGACCTATAATCCCAGCACTCAGGGGCAGAGGCAGGGAGGTCTCTGAGTTCAAGGCCAGCCTAGTCTACAAAGTGAGTTCCAGGACACTTGGAGCAGTTACCCAGAGAAACCTTGTCTGTAAAACAAAAAAGTGTGCTGTGTAATACTACACATGGCTATTTTTTTTTTTAAATCTGCCTCTAATTCAACTTAACTTGACTAAGAACTATAGAAGCTCGAAAGAAAACAAACTGATTTTTTGCTCTTTATAATATAAAATATTCTAAGAAGGCTTATACTGATGAAATCACTAGTTGATATCTTGAACTCTAATTGGGCTATTGTGGCGAGGTGTCCTGTCCCCCTGGAGGCCACGTTTCTGTGTAGCTTTGGAGCTTGTTCTGGAACTTGCTCTATAGTCTTGAACTCACAGAGATTTACCTGCCTCTTAAAAGTTACAGGGAAAATAAAAGAGCCATTGTCATAACCCAAGATAATTTTACCATCTTTGATTCTGTTTGTATCTACTATTTATTCACCTTGAACTACGGAAGTGCTATAAAATAGGCGACTGTATATTTACTAAGCTTCATATAGTTAAACATTAAAATCTTCCAAAAGTAATGTGCTTTTTTTGATCATCTTACCCTTCAAGGGTAAATTACTATGTTTATCTTTCTGGCTCATATAAAACATTTTTCTTAAAAGAGTTGAGACTTGGAATTAGAGATGGCTTAGAAGTTTAGAGTGCTTGCTACTTTTGCAGAGGACTCGAGTTCAGTTCTAAACACCCACCTCAGATGGATCACAATCATCTGCAAATCCAGCTCCAAGAGATCCAATGTCCTCTTCTGGCTTTTTTTGGGTACCAGGCATGCAGAGACATATATATAGGAAAAACACTCATACAGATAGAAAAGAAATTACAAAATTTTTAGCATAGTAATCTTATATCCTCAGAAGGCACATTTTTGACCAATAGACAGCAGTAGAAATTTTAAGAGAATATCTGGATGTCTACAGTGTATACCACTTGTCAAGTAAATTAAAAAAAATTTCAAGATCTTTTCTCTGAAAAAAAAAAAAAAGTCATTTTATAATCTCTACCAAGGACAAAGATGTGTATTCTCTACAGACCTGAATTCTGCTATGGGCCGGGCCTTTTTGAATAAATATTTGATATAATTCTTTTGAACACACTAATACTTGAGAATCACTGATCTCTCTGATGAGTTTGGGTTTAATAGATATTATTTAGTACGGGCTTACGGAAAGTACTAGGATTGAGAGAGAAGAGCTCAGACAATGACTTACAAGAGTTCTCTCATAGAATATTTGATTTGCCTTTTTATTGCTGCTGCCACTGCTATTTTGAAACAGGGCCTGGGACTCCCGTTTCAGCCGCTAGCAGTAGGATGACAGTAGGTGTCATACAAGGGAGTGGGATCAGTGGCATTAGAAGAGGGCAACAGAAAAGATACCAGGAAAAGATTAATAACGGTTCTATTAAGTGAAAACACAAAGTGAAACAATAGGGGATGGTGGAAACAAACTTCATGCAATTTTATGAAAAATATATTTCACAAATAAGAATACATAAGTAAGAAGAAAAAGGAAGATATAACTAGAAAATTAATAGCAAAATAGTTCAAATACTTTGATTCAACCTAGGTGCTCCCAAGAGGGCAAGGGTGTTGGGAACATTTTCACATAAAGGTGGTCTGGGAACAATAAGGAGGAAATTCCATTACTGCTCATTACATTTATGGTTAGGAATTAAAAAGTACTGTGGGTTTTTTTTTTTTTTTTTTTTTTTTTTTTTTTTGGATAGGCCAAGAAGAAAAAGTATTCACTTAATTCAGACCAGTTTAATTCAGTCTATGTAAATTTTTTAAGGAAGGTAGAAGAATGGTGTTACAAGTCTGGACATCAAGGTAAATAGGGTTTGGTTTGCAGCAAAAACAGGTTCTGCTGACATCTACTAACAGCATGCTAGGCAACCTTAGGGTTAAAGAGTGAGGAATTGCAACTCCCTATGTCAGTTGCAAATGAACTTCACAGTGACTTGACTGTGACTCACATTCAAAAGATAACCCAGATTGAAAATGTGTCCATTTGCATTCTGATTAACCTATGAACTTTGACTTGTACCTGCTGTGAGTGGAGCAAGTTTATGGAAGTCTACTAGAACATAATCATTCACAAGCTCAAATATGTTTGCCATGGAAAGCCTAAAGGGCTTTCACACACTGGAAACTGACGACAAAGACAACAAAAAGTTTCTATTCTCTACTGGTAGTCTTGTGACAAAGCCTGACCAAGTTTTGTGAGAAAGCAATTTATGTTGGAGAAATGGAACGTCCCCCTCCTCCATCCCCTAGACATCGGGATGGCTTCCAAGCAAACTTCATAAGTTTTAAATGTGAAGCTCAAACTAGCTTACCCTAAAAGCCATTCTTTTCCCTAAATGGAAATTGACAAAACAGGAAGTACACAGTGGCAAAGAGAAGCAAAATCTGTGGCTGAAGTATTTACTGGGAACAGTCTAGTTCTTTCTGACTGTGATAAAATGCAGAGCTTTAAACTTGGGAGAAAACCAGCAAATTTGGTTTCAGTATCATGACACATGAAGAAGAAACAGGAAGATGGCTTCATTACATAAAATCCCTTCCCTGAAGCCTCTGATCAACACAATAACAGACCCATCAAAGTATACAGACACTGGAAGCACCTTATAATGCCATATAAAAAATAAGAATGTTTTTGAAAAACAGCTATATTTGGTTTGAGAGAAAGTGGAGGATTTTTTTCTTGGCGATTATTGAAGTATCTGAGATAACGAAATAAAAATCCTAAGTAGGCTGTTAGCATTGGTGATTCAGGAACATATTACCAAACATATCACAAGCCAGCATAGAGGCTCACTCTCATGACTTCTTTTCCTATCACTATATATGAACAATTAAAGGCCTTTCTAGGTGCAATTGCTTTCTCTCTCTTTTTAAGCACCTGAAATGGCATAACTGGGCTGGTGGTAGTACACACCTTTAATCCCAACACTTGGGAGGAGAGGCCAGCCTGCTCTACAGAGGAAGTTCCAGGACAGCTAGAGCTACAAAGAGAAATTCTGTCTCACCAAAACCAAAGCATAAAAAAACAAAAACAAGCAAACAAAAGAATTGGGGGGGGGGTGTATTTATTTTTTTGAGGCAGCATCTCTACAGAGCCCTGGGCTGCTTGGAACTCACTACATAGACCAGGCTATCCTCAAACTCAGAGAGATTTGCCCACTTCTGCCTTCCAATGCAATATTGTTTTACTCTCACTTGGGACATCTCTTATACTAGCTAATAAGAA